GGGTAGGGTCAATTATGACCGATCCTTATAAAATTTTAAAGAGATTTAGGTTCCCATAAAACATGTTTGTGCCGAATTTCACCGCTATTGGTTCTTCCCTTAGCAAGTTATGACGATAAAGTCATTTTCTGAAGGGGACTTTATATGGGGGGTAGGGTCAATTATGACCGATCCTTATAAAATTTTACAAGAGATTTAGGTTCCCATAAAACATGTTTGTGCCGAATTTCACCGCTATTGGTGCTTTCTTAGCAGTTTAGTTAGGCGATAAAGTCATTTTCTGAAGGGGACTTTATATGGGGGGTAGGGTCAATTATGGACCGATCCTTATAAAATTCTACGAAGAGATTTAGGTTCCCATAAAACATGTTTGTGCCGAATTTCACCGCTATTGGTTCTTCCCTTAGCAAGTTATGAGCGATAAAGTCATTTTCTGAGGGGGCCTTATATGGGGGCTAGGCGAAATTGTGGACCGATATTGCCCATTTTCAATACCAAACAAACTGCATCAACTAGAAGTATCTGTGCAAAATTTCAGCTCGCTAGCTGCTTCCATTTGGACTCTATCGTGTTTCAACAGACAGACGACAGACAGACAGACAGACGGACAGACGGACAGGCGGACAGACGGACGGACATGGCTAGATCGTCTTAGAATCTAAGGACCCAGAATATATATACTTTTATGGGTCTTAGACGAATATTTCAATGTGTTACAAACGGAATGACAAAACAATATACCCCCCATCTTTTTTGATGGTGGGTATAAAAAAGGTAATAAAACACATGCCGAAAGTTGCTATTTATTTATATTTTCATTATGTCCTTTCTGGAGTTTGGTCTACAAATTTAATGTTAGACAATTTATTTTTTCGGGACTTGGGTGAATGGACAATCATCAAAATGAAGAAGTAGAAAACCTTTGTTAAGCATATACTTAAATATAATTTAGCAAAAATATATATATATATTTTTATATGTCTTTTGCAAAAAAAAAATCTTTAAGTAACATTCCGAAAATGAATATTTACTTAAGGTAAATTTATGAGATTTTTTTTCTGCTGTAGTTGTTGTTTTATGAAGTCTTCGTACATTGTTACACACTCGTATATGTATGTAATTTGTTGCTACTGTACGTATGAGTCATTTTATTTGAGAAGACATGACAGAAGAAAATGTATTTGTATCTTTCTATTGCTTTCATTTGTTTCGGCGTTATTATTATTTTTTACTTGTTCTAGAGGCAGAATGTTTATAAAAGAAATGAAGAAAAAGTAAATAGACTTGAAATGAATTGTTGTTTTATGAGAAGACAAATGTAGAAAGAAGTCTGTAGGTCTAAGTCTGAAAACAAGGTAATAATAAGGATTGTTTTATTTCTTTTATTATTACATTTCTTTCTGGAGAAGAATGTGGCATAAGGAGGCTGCTTAGGTTTGGGTTTTGGATTGTTAGGACTAATGAAATGTTACGTAGAACTTTAATTTGTTGTTTTTGTTTTGTTAATAAAAAGGTCTAATATTTATGGTGCTCTCGTGTAAACGAGCTTCTTCTGGTCTGAGATAATGGACTAGTATTAAATATTAAAGTTGATTTTTTTAAATTTAATAAGTCTTTAGGAAACTACTGAATGAACTCAAGAATTAAAGATTTTTTTAATTTTTATAAGAAACATGTTGTTCACTTGCTATTTAGCACTAGTTCAATATGAGCTCAGTTCCGTTCCAGTTCTATCTAGTTCTGTTCTAGTTCTGTTCTAGTTCTGTTCTAGTTCTGTTCTAGTTCTGTTCTAGTTTTGTTCTAGTTCTGTTCTAGTTCTGTTCTAGTTCTGTTCTAGTTCTGTTCTAGTTTCTGTTCTAGTTCAGTTCTAGTTCTGTTCTAGTTCTGTTCTAGTTCTGTTCTAGTTCTAGTTCTAGTTCTAGTTGTTCTAGTTCTGTTCTAGTTCTGTTCTAGTTCTGTTCTAGTTCTGTTCTAGTTCTGTTCTAGTTCTGTTCTAGTTCTGTTCTAGTTCTAGTTTTCTAGTTCTGTTCTAGTTCTAGTTCAGTTCTAGTTTCTGTTTAGTTCTGTTCTAGTTCGGTTCTAGTTCTGTTCTAGTTCTCTTCTAGTTCTGTTCTAGTTCTGTTCTAGTTCTGTTCTAGTTCTGTTCTAGTTCTGTTCTAGTTCTGTTCTAGTTCTAGTTCTGTTCTAGTTCTGTTCTAGTTCTGTTCTAGTTCTGTTCTAGTTCTGTTCTAGTTCTGTTCTAGTTCTGTTCTAGTTCTGTTCTAGTTATGTTCTAGTTCTGTTCTAGTTCTGTTCTAGTTCTGTTCTAGTTCTGTTCTAGTTCTGTTCTAGTTCTGTTCTAGTTCTGTTCTAGTTCTGTTCTAGTTCTATTCTAGTTCTGTTCTAGTTCTGTTCTAGTTCTGTTCTAGTTCTGTTCTAGTTCTGTTCTAGTTATGTTCTAGTTCTGTTCTAGTTCTGTTCTAGTTCTGTTTAGTTCTAGTTCTGTTCTAGTTCTGTTCTGTCTGTTCTAGTTCTGTCTGATCTAGTTCTAGTTCTGTTCTAGTTCTGTCCTAGTTCTGTTCTAGTTCAGTTCTAGTTCAGTTCTAGTTCAGTTCTAGTTCAGTTCTAGTTCAGTTCTAGTTCAGTTCTAGTCAGTTCTAGTTCAGTTCTAGTTCAGTTCTACTTCAGTTCTAGTTCAGATCTAGTTCAGTTCTAGTTCAGTTCTAGTTCAGTTCTAGTTCAGTTCTAGTTCAGTTCTAGTTCTGTTCTAGTTCTAGTTCTGTTCTAGTTCTGTTCTAGTTCTGTTTTTGTTCTGTTCTAGTTCTGTTCTAGTTCTGTTCTGTTCTGTTCTGTTCTAGTTCTAGTTCTAGTTCTGTTCTAGTTCTGTTCTAGTTCTGTTCTAGTTCTGTTCTAGTTCTGTTCTAGTTCTGTTCTAGTTCTGTTCTAGTTCTGTTCTAGTTCTGTTCTAGTTCTGTTCTAGTTCTGTTCTAGTTCTGTTCTAGTTCTATTCTAGTTCTGTTCTAGTTCTGTTCTAGTTCTGTTCTAGTTTCTGTTCTAGTTCTGTTCTAGTTCTGTTCTAGTTCTGTTCTAGTTCTGTTCTAGTTCTGTTCTAGTTCTGTTCTAGTTCTAGTTCTAGTCTATTCTAGTTCTGTTCTAGTTCTGTTCTAGTTCTGTTCTAGTTCTGTTCTAGTTCTGTTCTAGTTCTGTTCTAGTTCTGTTCTAGTTCTGTTCTAGTTCTGTTCTAGTTCTGTTCTAGTTCTGTTCTAGTTCTGTTCTAGTTCTGTTCTAGTTCTGTTCTAGTTCTGTTCTAGTTATGTTCTAGTTCTGTTCTAGCTCTGTTCGAGTTCAGAGCTAATTGAGTTATAATTCAGTGCCAATCATGTAACAATAAATCCACAATTTAAGAATATTTCAAAACATATGTACTAATTTTGTGTTTTTTCTTTATTTTTCAGATTAATACCACAGCTGTTGAACTTTAATTAACTATTTGATAAGGTAAATATGTTTACAAATGTATATTTTTCACTATTTAATTAAGTTAGCTAAGATTTCATTTAATTCATTTAATTCCAAACTATTATTTTTGATTCAATCAAAAAATTCCATAAGAATTTTTTTGGCTTTTTGCACTTCAATCTATGATTTTTCCTTAGGCATTTCAACAATTTCATTGACTCCAAAACACTTGTTCATTATTAATCGAAGACAAAAATTCACTGTCAACAGGTCGTTTAGACATTATAGCCAAATTGAAACCAGTTAAGTTGTTCAAAATTTATCTTAATCTGAGCATGAGAGGAAAGAATAACACGATAAAACAAAACTGCCAAAGTAAAAGAAAATTCTTTAATCAAATAATACGAAAACTGTCAGAGCAAGACATTGAGAGTAAGTAACATACAACAGCTGCACCGACACAAAATAATGTTTGTTACACAGAACTGAACATTAGAAAATGTCAAATAGCAAATGTACCAAAAACAAAATAAATAGAAAAATTGTAGAAAAAAACTTAAAATAGTACAAAGTAAAATAGCAAATGGAAAAAGGCCATAGGGAAAACAGACATATAAATCTGAAAGATATAGACAGTTAGAACAAAAAGCCAGTCTGAGATACGATGACTGCAACATAGCAAATAGCTAAGGTCATTTACAAAACACACTTACTTCGTAACCTAAGTATTTTTAACGAAATAAAAAATTCAAGTGTTACCATTGAAAAATCCCAAGAAATAAAAATGTTTGCTACATTTAAAACAAACAAGCCAACTGAACCCTGCAACCAACCAAACTATCAACCGTCCGTCCGTCCGGTGAACCAACCGTCCAGCATTATATTTTTGGGCAGACAGAAACAAACGTTTTTCTCTACTACCAAATGACAGCAACAAATAACATGCACAGATATTGACAATGTACATGACCAATAACGCCAATGGTGGCTGGTATTCCAGAGAAGTACTAAAGATTTTAGTGAAATGGAAAAAAAACGAATAAAAACTAAAAAATTTGAAATGAAAAATCCATTGGTTCTTACAATTGATACGTGCATATGCACAAATAATGCAGAGATATTTTTCTTACTTTTTTGTTTGTTTGATTTTAGAGTTTTTTCGGGTTTAAGTTTTGCAGTTTAAAGCAATGATGCTGAAATCTAATACCCCCAAGAATGTAAAGTTTGAAATAAAGCATACAGACATATACGGATACACACTCATTGAGAAGGCTCTTGCATTGAAGTGCACCACACACTCGTAGAGTCACTTAAAATGTTTTCAGTCAGAGTGAGCAATTAGAAAGGAACGATTTTAATTTTAGTCCACTTCAGTTCTTGAACTGTTCTAGTTCTGTTCTGGATCTGGTCTAGTTCTGTTGTAGGTCTGTTCTAGTTCTGTTCTAGTTCTGTTCTAGTTCTATTCTAGTTCTGTTCTAGTTCTGTTCTAGTTCTGTTCTAGTTCTGTTCTAGTTCTGTTCTAGTTCTGTTCTAGTTCTGTTCTAGTTCTGTTCTAGTTCTGTTCTAGTTCTGTTCTAGTCTGTTCTAGTTCTGTTCTAGTTCTGTTCTAGTTCTGTTCTAGTTCTGTTCTAGTTCTGTTCTAGTTCTGTTCTAGTTCTGTTCTAGTTCTGTTCTAGTTCTGTTCTAGTTCTGTTCTAGTTCTGTTCTAGTTCTGTTCTAGTTCTGTTCTAGTTCTGTTCTAGTTCTGTTCTAGTCTGTTCTAGTTTGTTCTAGTTCTGTTCTAGTTCTGTTCTAGTTCTAGTTCTGTTCTAGTTCTGTTCTAGTTCTGTTCTATTTCTGTTCTAGTTCTGTTCTATTTCTGTTCTAGTTCTGTTCTAGTTCTGTTCTAGTTCTGTTCTAGTTCTGTTCTAGTTCTGTTCTAGTTCTGTTCTAGTTCTGTTCTAGTTTGTTCTAGTTCTGTTCTAGTTCTGTTCTAGTTCGTTCTAGTTCTGTTCTAGTTCTGTTCTAGTTCTGTTCTAGTTCTGTTCTAGTTCTGTTCTAGTTCTGTTCTAGTTCTATTCTGTTCTATTCTAGTTCTGTTCTAGTTCTGTTCTGTTCTGTTCTAGTGTTCTAGTTTGTCTAGTTCTGTTCTAGTTCTGTTCTAGTTCTGTTCTAGTTCTGTTCTAGTTCTGTTCTAGTTCTGTTCTAGTTCTGTTCTAGTTCTGTTCTAGTCTGTTCTAGTTCTGTTCTAGTTCTGTTCTAGTTCTGTTCTAGTTCTGTTCTAGTTCTGTTCTAGTTCTGTTCTAGTTCTGTTCTAGTTCTGTTCTAGTTCTGTTCTATTCTGTTCTAGTTCTGTTCTAGTTCTGTTCTAGTTCTGTTCTAGTTCTGTTCTAGTTCTGTTCTAGTTCTGTTCTAGTTCTGTTCTAGTTGTTCTAGTTCTGTTCTAGTTCTGTTCTAGTTCTGTTCTAGTTCTGTTCTAGTTCTGTTCTAGTTCTGTTCTAGTTCTGTTCTAGTTCTGTTCTAGTTCTGTTCTAGTTCTGTTCTAGTTCTGTTCTAGTTCTGTTCTAGTTCTGTTCTAGTTCTGTTCTAGTTCTGTTCTAGTTCTGTTCTAGTTCTGTTCTAGTTCGTTCTAGTTCTTTCTAGTTCTGTTCTAGTTCTGTTCTAGTTCTGTTCTAGTTCTGTTCTAGTTCTGTTCTAGTTCTGTTCTAGTTCTGTTCTAGTTCTGTTCTAGTTCTGTTCTAGTTCTGTTCTAGTTCTGTTCTAGTTCTGTTCTAGTTCTGTTCTAGTTCTGTTCTAGTTCTGTTCTAGTTCTGTTCTAGTTCTGTTCTAGTTCTGTTCTAGTTCTGTTCTAGTTCTGTTCTAGTTCTGTTCTAGTTCTGTTCTAGTTATGTTCTAGTTCTGTTCTAGTTCTGTTCTGTTCTGATCTGTTCTAGTTCTGTTCTAGTTCTGTTCTAGTTCTGTTCTAGTTCTGTTCTAGTTCTGTTCAAGTTTGTTCTATTTCTCTGCTAATTTCATTCCTAGTCTATTTGAGCTTTTCCGATCGCCCTGTATTTCTTTCATTGACAAAATTGTCATCTGTATGCTCTACATGTGGCTGCCTGTATGTGAAAAGTATCCATGACCAGTATGTTTGTATTCCACTTTTGTGCAAAAATGGTTCCAATGCAATATATGGTCAATTTTTGTATATGGTACGGTATTGTCTATGCACGTACAGGCACGTTACTTTTCAACTCATTCGATATGTGGTATATGAATTCAAATATTTGCAAATTATTTATGTATGGAGTTTTTTATGCAGCAGCCCCAGAGTGTATTTTTTTTTTTTTTTTGGAAATGTTTTTTGTTTGTTAAAATGAGAAATATTTTCTGTTTTGAAGGCCTCGAAAGTTTAAAGGCAATTTTTGAATGCAAAAAACTTATTGACAAGTGTTTAGTAGGAAATATGTATTTTTGGAATTCTTTAGATAGAAGTTTATAGAAACAATATCATTTGCTTTTATTAAATTAAATTTTTGTTATTTACATACATTTATTTTAAAGTTTTTCCCTCTATTGAGTATTATAAGTAATAACTTTTTTATAATTTTTTACTTTCAAATTACTTCGAGTTGTTCTGTGTTCATTTAGTGATTTATTTTAAATGTAATTTATATCATTTGATTAACAAAAGTAAAAACATAACCAAACTACATGTATTTATTTGATTTAAATGACCCACCTTTATTTTTTTGTAAAACAGAAACAAAATTTGTACATGTTTTAAAATCTATTGCATTGTTTTTATTAAATGTTAACATAAATCTCCAACAATTTAACAATAGTTTTTTTAAAAACCAGTCTATAGAATGTTAAAAACATTAAAAACAAAAAAAGTAAAAAAAAAACATCAACTACACATTTATGAAACAACATGAAAACAATGAAATTGAAAATGTATACAAAAATGTGCTAAACAAAAAAATCGATAAAAAAAATTTAAAAAAATACAAGTTTTTATTTTGTTGGTATAAAAAAGGGCTGGAAATGATATCAGAATAGCCAAGAATTCCAACTACACTTTCCAAAGAAAGGTTACAAACTTATTGAATGTTCCCAACAAAACTTTGCTTTTGGTAGGGTACTGTAGAAAAAATATATAATTTGAATATAAACGTACATAAATACTTGTATGCTTGTATGTCTATAAAAATAATAAATAAAAATCACATGAATGGTTGCTCTATAAATCTGATAAGAAAAACTGAAGTAAACAGGGTGCTTCGCAAGTTCTACTAAAATTGAAAATTACAGCTGAACTAGAACTGAACTAGAACTGAAATAGAACAGAAATAGAACAGAACTAGAACTGAACTAGAACTGAACTAGAACAGAACTAGAACAGAACTAGAACTGAACTAGAACTGAACTAGAACTGAACTAAACTGAACTAGAACTGAACTAGAACTGAACTAGAACTGAACTAGAACTGAACTAGAACTGAATTAGAACTGAACTAGAACTGAATTAGAAACTGAACTAGAACTGAACTAAAACTGAACTAGAACTAGAACTGAACTAGAACTGAACTAGAACTGAACTAGAACTGAACTAGACTGAACTAGAAACTGAACTAGAACTGAACTAGAACTGAACTAGAACTGAACTAGAACTGAACTAGAACTGAACTAGAACTGAACTAGAACTGAACTAGAAGACTAGACTGAACTAGAACTGAACTAGAACTGAACTAGAACTGAACTAGAACTGAACTAGAACTGAACTAGAACTGAACTAGAACTGAACTAGAACTGAACTAGAACTGAACTAGAACTGAACTAGAACTGAACTAGAACTGAACTAGAACTGAACTAGAACTGAACTAGAACTGAACTAGAACTGAACTAGAACTGAACTAGAACTGAACTAGAACTGAACTAGAACTGAACTAGAACTGAACTAGAACTGAACTAGAACTGAACTAGAACTGAACTAGAACTGAACTAGAACTGAACTAGAACTGAACTAGAACTGAACTAGAACTGAACTAGAACTGAACTAGAACTGAACTAGAACTGAAC